TCGTTTTCCATTGCTTAGCTCGTGCCTCTACTACGCTCTGTGGGTTGGTAATAACGCCACGGTCGTCAGGATCCAAGCACAGTTCTGGAAACTCGAGACATTCAGACCTCTTGAGGTATCGGTGAGCGTTTCGCATGTTGCCTTCCATCGCCTTCTTGGCCCACTTGCGGATGCTGATCTTTGCCTTCTGCCACGCTTTCTTACCATGGCGCTCTATTCGTTGACTGACCTGCTGTAGAGCGTCATGCCACAACGGTTGGTGGGTGTCTAGTTTTATCGTGTCTTTCTTCTGGTCGCACACAAGGGGCGCCCGAAGCTGGGAGCGCTGAGTACTCTAGGTCTTCGACGTGCTCGATCTAATTGCGGATGCTAGCTCTAAGGGCCTTGCAGCGCTCTGAGCTGGACGATGCTCCCAAGGGGTGAAGCAGAGATCCCAGCTCGATCCATCTGTCATGCAGTGCTTGGCTTGGGTCAATATAATGCTGCGTACGTCTGGGAACTGCTGGCAAGAGTCGGTTTCAAATTGGGTGTCCTCGGATAGTTTTAGCCTCGCCCTCTTTGCCGCGCAAGATGGCCAGTGAGTGGTCTGCTGTTTGTGCCCAGTTCATGTACTTGTCGCCCAGGTGCTGGCTAACCTGCTGTGTGCGCGCAAACGCGATGCTCTGCTTAGTGAACATATCTAGTTCTGGAAGCTCGCATGCTTCAACTTGCTGACGAACCTCCTGCCACACTTCGTCCTCCACCACTGCCAGCACCTACTTGGCGTAGGTCGGGGAGAGGAGGTTGTCTATCTTTTGACGTTCTGCCTGCAATGCCAGCTGCGCATCAGAAAGTTGGGTGGTGTCCTCACCGATGTCCTGCTTTTCCATGTGCTCCGTGAGACGAGCGTGCTTTTCGCGATCCCGCTGCTTTCGCTTGAGGCCCTTTTCCACGTGCACTTTGAGGTGTGGTACTTGGTGCAGCTCAGCTCGAACTGGACGAAGTGCCTGGAGTGCCGCAGGGCGTCTCGCTATCTTGATGCACAGGCCCACGTGAGGTCTCCACGGTACCTTTGTGACTGCCGTGACTCCTCCGAGGAAAGGCCGAACGGCTGGAGGGCATATAACATAATCCAACATCCGTCCCCTTCCACTCGAACAAGTAACATCTACCCTTGCAGGTGTAGACGGCTGTACCGAGAGCTTCTTGGCCCAGGGCGACTGCATACATTCTTCTGGTGTGACGTTGCAGTCGCCCACCGCTGCCCATGGTGTGTTTATGCTGGCCACGAGCTGGGCGAGCTGCATCAACTTATTGGTTTTTGGGCGGTCGAGCCTGGGCCGCTGTCCAGATGCACTACAAAGAGAGTGATTCGAATGCCACCCTTCAAGTCCCAATGCACCACCGTAATGCCATTCAGCTCCTTCCCAAAGGTGCTAGCCCCACTGACTGTCGGTAGGTGTACGGAGGTCTGAAGGCGGGAACGGCGCAGCCAACATACTCCCCCATGAGTTCCGTCTGCAGAACGTCCAGTGCGCGATGCAGCTGTCCATGTGTGCTGAGAGCGCCATCCCCATAAGGCTGAATCCGCTGGGCTTCTTCAGACGCCTTGGCTGCTGTGAGGTTGTGCTCGACTAGGCCCACCGTATCACATTTCGACTGCGTGATGAAGTGACGAGCCGCGACTTTGTACTAAGAGATACTCGCGACGGATATGCTGGCGTACTCCCCTTCGTCGTTGCCTGCACTAAGAGTGTTTGGTGGGTCCTGGAACTCGCACTCGGGGTCCTCGAATTCTGCACGAACGCGTCTGAGGCTAAACCCGCGAAGTGCTCGGGCTCCGTGACATCGAAAACGCCCGATGGCACGCCTTCAGCCTGGGCTGCAGGCCCGTTGGGCAGCTCCTGCCGCATGAGCTTCACCTTGCACTGGTCCTTCGGTTCCTCGGCGTCGCTTTGATTCTTCGGCATGGTCTGCCAACTTGCGGAGGTTCTCGGCGGCCTCCTTCCTTGCAGTCGAAGCTCCTTTGGCCGCCTCGCGCGTCTGCTGGGCTGCCGCGGCTGCTTCTCGAGCTTGCGAGCTTCCATTCTAAGGAATTCCAAGTCGTCTGGTGAAAGCTCAGGGAACGGTTCATCTTGCTGGCTTTGTTGCTGCGCTGGAGGTTCTGTGGTGGCCTTTTCCCGACAGGCATCCACTCTCTGCTGGGCTTCATTCTCTGCGGTCTTATTGACAGCCAACTTTGCCAAGATGTTCTTTTGCTCTTCTGCATTGTGCTGGAGTCTCTTCCGTAGCTTCTTTCCTGCCTGCGTGACCATGCGGAGCCCCTGAGCCGCTGTCTCCAACTCCTCAAAGGGCTTCGGCTCTGGGGCTGGCTTCGGGCCTGGCTGGCGCAGGTGAGGGCAGGCCTGCTCCAGCAAGGCCAGCTGCTTTTGCTCGTTGCTTTCTTTTGCAAGCTTGTACAGTCGGCCCGGATTAGTAGGTCGACCTGGCCAGCTCAAGGGTACCCTTGTGTCCTGTGCCTCGCGACACGTGCCTTCTTACACTCCAATGGCGATGTGGCCTTCGGAAGGGTCTTGTGTCCTCCCGCTTGTCCTATCCGATCAAGTCCGACTGTACTTGTCTCCAAAAAGGGCGACCAATGCCTGGGCCTGTGCGTCGGGAGCTCGCTGGTCGGCCAAGGCTGGTGTCCACTCGGTACCCCCTCAAGCCGCGGGCGCGCCTCGCGGCCTGCTGGACGGGTCAGGCGCGGACGCGCGGTACGCGCGCAGCAGTGGGCCCGCCAGACTGCACCCTACAAGCTCTTTGGCCCAGGCTGCTTGAGAGGAGGCGGAGGAGGAGGAGGCGGAGGAGGCGGAGGAGGAGGAGGAGGAGGAGGAGGCGGAGGAGGAGGAGGATGAGGAGGAGGAGGAGGAGGAGGAGGAGTTGGAGCCGACTGCGGGCGACTCGAAGCGTCACCGCAGGCGTAGGAAAACCCGCATTGCCCACCTTGGGCGGCGGCGGCCGGGGAACAACCTGCCCCGCGGCGGCCTCGACCCACTGTGGGGAGGGCGGGGCAGTCACGACCCAGCCGTGGCGACAAGAAATCACCAGAAGAACACGCCAGCCGCGGCGACGAGGACACCAGACCCGAGCCCCAGCCGCGGCGACGAGGAACGCAACAAGCGCGCCCAGCCGCGACGACCGCGCGGGGGCGTTCACACAATGTTTGCCCTTCCCCACGTAGGAGGGTGGGTGTGACGGGGTCCCCAAGGGGGGAGGGCCCGCCAACAGAGACCCGCAAGAGTCGGAGGCTATCCCTTGCCACGCTGTCGCGGGGACAGCCCGCAGAGAGACTCGTTCGATCTCTGCGAGCTGCTTCCGCCGCTCCGCGGGTGCCTCTGCAGCTTCTAGACAGGGCTTGCGAAGCTTGCGGGCAGTGCGCGGAGCCTGAATTTCACAGGTTCCCGCACACAGCCTGCAGCAGAGTCGCGTGCCAGCGACAAATATGCCGTGACCAATCTGCGTGAAGATGGGCTCAACCACTGGGTGAGCCTCATCTCTGGCCAACTGCTCTTGGCCTGCCTCCTGTGCGGCGGTAAGCTGGTTCCCGCTCGCACTAAGCTGTCGACCACCAGCAGGCTCGTCACCATGCAACCGACGGGCCAGGTCAGTGGCGACGCGAGCCCGCTCATCCAGCAGCGGCTTCCACTCGTCCTTGGTGTTGGCGAAGAACTGGTGGGCAGCGTAATGCTTTAGCTCACTGGGATGGCAAGTCCTCTGCGATCCGCTGCGCAAGGAAGCCAGAGAAGACCAGGTTCGATCCATCGCATTGCATGTACGGCATCGGTAAACCTTTACCCCGCCCTGGTCGCAGACATAAAGATCATGGCCTTGCTGCCGTCCAACTACAAGCCCAGACAGTTCGAGGGCCGCATCTGGCGCTATATAGCTTCTCGTTTCTTCCCCACTTCTGGCGCGTAACAGCCTGTTGGCATGCCCATGCCACATGTTGCAGAACCTTGCGGTGTTCGCTTAGAGCAGCATTGATTGACCCACCCAAGGTAGTGTATACCATGTGGTGAGCTGCACCCAACTTTGCGAACACATCGGCCCAGCTGTTGCCCAGCCAATCCGCAGCATCTTCGTAGTCCTGCTCCAGAATGTCCTGCGCCGTCCTGTGGGACGGGGTCCACTTAAACCGTGGGGGAGGTAGCTTGCGCGATTCCGACGCCAGAACGATACCGCGCCACACTCGAGCGTGCTTGGCTCTCCCCCTGGCCACAGTAGGGGCCCATGTTTCACCCTCGTCCACACGGGATTTGAGGTCGGAGATAAAACGGGCGTGGTTGACGTTCAACTCCGTGCCCACCTTAATAGCGTAGCGTTCAGCCTTCCCTACTGTCTGCAACACACAAGGTACCGGCCCATACTTCGCCCGTTTAGGCAGAAGGGTGGTGTCATCCAACTGGACGATAGACCATCCGCATCTCCTTCTCTCGGGGGTGCTGGATCCATACCCTGATCCATCCGTGTATGAGATGGGTCCCCAGTCTTCTTGCTCATCACCCCACTCGAACACCTGAGAGCTAATGGAAGCTACCGAAGGTATCCCAGCAGGCTCCTCAGGTATGCCAAACACCATGTAGTGATGTTCGTAAGAAGGCTCCCCTGTGAAGAGCCCAGCCTTGAGTAGGCGATTGCAGCCCACTGGGTACTCCTGCCCACTTGGTCTTGGGCGAGCGGTGAGGCTGGCTCACCTTCTCGTCGGGTGCGTGGAGCTCAGCATGTGGTACGTCCTGGAACTCATTACCGCTGTCTTCATCAGGTTGGGGATGAGGCATGTCCTGGGCATACTCCTCCTCTCCTCCGCAGACAGCCGGGACGACGTCCTCGTCGGATTCACCAAACCCGCACGTCGGCACACACGCCTGCTCCTTTGCACGTAGAGGCACCTGTTCAGGGTCACGGCCCGTGACTTCCTCATGGTGTGGTAGATCACCATCAGCGCCGTGAGACTGGCTCACGGTCGCCTCTGCCCGCACATGATCTACAGGGGTGTCATTGTGCACGGGGTTGCTGGCTGGGGCATCCTCCAGCACCTGTGCCTCGTCATAGAGGCCTGGGCATTGAACTAACACATGTCCCCAGCATTGATGCTGCGCCAGCGCATAGCCACAGGCCTGACATGGGCGCATATTGCGCTGTAGCTTCATGTCTCGCCTGGGCGGAATAGGCAAGTTGTCTGCCCAGTGTGCCTGTAAGGCACCCAGCCATTGGACGTTGCGCACGCCCGCCACTGCATATCTAAGCCCCCGATGCCACACAGCTGTACCTTCATGGGTGTACATGTGTCGCTGTAGACGCTCGTGTTGCCATCGTTGGCATCCAGACACTAGGTGCTGCTGGCCCAGATCATCTTGTACGAGCTGTGGTGCCAAGAGGCGCCATCCAAACCTTCGCAATGATAGCACGGTGGCAGCTAACGGGCCACGTGCCTGTGCAAATGTGGTTGTTGTCGAACTTGGCGTCGAGAGGGAGGAGAAGGAGGAGGAAGAGGTGGAGGAGGAGGAGGAGGAATGGAATGGAATGGGCCTATCGCGAAGCGAAGAAACGTGACCTAACCACCACCCAAGCCACTGCTCGGGTTTAATTTGGCTACTTATATTTGGGCCACAGACCCCTTTGAATTCTATCCAGGTAAACCCGCCCCGTGGGCGTGATGGTCCTCCTGGGGCCCTCCGACTCAGAGGAAACAAGACACGGCTTGGCCAGATTGGGCCTAAGCTGGACACTGGCGAAATGATTACCACCACGAGCTACAACACCAACGCCACAAGACAGGGTGGAAAAGGAGCTCGTGGGAGGGGTGGGTATGCCCTCCCCCTATATGAACTGATTGACCCCTCGGAAGCCTCAACACTGACGAATTAGACATGGTCTGCAGCTCAATGCACTCAGTTTTTTTCCATTCGGTCAGGGCGCCAATGGATAAGCAACTGTGGCAGCGGGTGCAACTCCTGCCGTCAGCGGAAAAGCGTGCTGGGACCCAAAGAAGGCGAGATAGGCAGCATACAGCGGAGGCCGTCGGTCTTTTTTTCACAGCAGCTCTCTTTTCCTGGGCGACGGCTTCCAGGTTCGCCCTCAAACGACGGGCTCGCACCAGGCTGGCCTTGTGCTCGGCCTGAGCGACACGGCCACGGGTGGCCTGAGGCAGACGAGCCTCGCGCGCAGCGATGTATGCCTATTCGTCGGCGGCTTCGTTGCCCATGGCAAGCCAAAGTGGCGTGCCCGGCGCCTCGAGAGTCGCTCCTGTCGGGTGAGAAGCGACTTGCAAAACTACAACGTCAGAGAAATCTCGAGTGCGCCCTTGGGCGCCAATTAGCCTCCAGAGGTCCTGGTTCGGGCCATGAGGGTCTAGAAACAAACCTGCATGCCAGCCGTCCATCACGGCTTTGGTATCAGTGACGTACACCAGCAATCCATAACTAAATTCGATTGTTGCCCACAGCGCGGCCAGCTCGCCTCTTGGCACCGTCTGCTTCCTTCCAGGCAGCGGGCTACGGAGCGAAACAGCAGCGTGGAACGGATCGAAACTATCAACGCTGACCAAACCGATGCCTACCTTGCGGAGTCGCTCGTTTCGCGAATCTTCCCCGCCATTGGCATCGCCGAAGACACAAAGGGGTCGACTAGGCGAGCCGACCCCAAGGATACACTTATCGGGTGTGCCTGCAGCTCCGCTGGCACTCCAACTGAAATCAGACTGCGGTGGCTCGACGCAAGTCCAGCCCGCTGGAATGATGCCTCTGAGCCAGAAGCATTCTTCCGACTCGTGCTGCGAGTGTGCCCGTGGTGACAAAACGTCGGAGACCGAAAACGCAGCCGACCCTGCATTGCACCTGCAAGACCACACTCTATGAAAAGCTGTCTCTGGGGCCTCGCCGCAACGGGGGCACAGGGTGTCTATGTCCCCCCGATCTCGTCGTGGATCTTCTGTCTGGGCCAACTGCCTCCGACAGCTATGCGTAGCATCATCTCTGCAAGCTGGTGCCCTTGCCCTGCACGCTCAAGGGCCATGAGCAGCTTCCTGCAGGATGCGTTGTCCGCGCCCCCTTCCAGAACAGCGCCGCAGAAGTGAGTCGCCGCCGTGCGCCACTGCTGGGTGCGCACCGACGACTCGAACTCGTTAAGCAAGTCCGTCAAGTCGTCGTGGGGCTGCAGCTGCTCGAAGATGAAGGCCTCTCTGCCCTCGGTCCCAGCTGGCCTGGTACCCCACTCCGTGGGGGCCACGGGGTCCCAATCGTACTGCAAGAGGTAGCAGATGATCGCCCCCATGGGCCCCCTGATGTGCCTGGCACGCTCCTGAGCGGTCAGGGCTCGAAACTTACTCACGGCCTTGCCCCAGACCGCGCTGATTCCCGCATGGACCTTCGGTGTCGACGCCCACGCGGCGAGCCAACGCCTCAGGCACTCCCGAGGCAACTTGTACCCTGGGTCCTGCCCTGGGCAGCGGAGGTCCAGGACGGAAGTGAGACACCGCCCCCTCCGCGCCGAGCTGGAGGAGAAGAAGAGGAGGAGGAGGCGGAGGAGGAGGAGGAGGAGGAGGAGGAGGAGAGGTGGAGGAGGCGGAGGAGGCGGAGGAGGCGGAGGAGGCGGAGGAGGCGGAGGAGGCGGAGGAGGCGGAGGAGGCGGAGGAGGCGGAGGAGGAGGAGGAGCAGGAGGAGGAGGAGGAAGAAGACGAATAATAATCATATTATTATTGTTATTGTTATTATTATTATTAGTATGATTATTATTATTATCATTATTATCATTATTATTATTATCATCATTATTGTTATTATTATTATTATTATTATTATTATTATTGTTATATTAGTAATAATAATAATGATGATGCTGATAAAGCTAATCGTAATGCGACTACTACTACTACTACTACTATTATTATTATTATCATTATTATTAGTAGTATTATTATTAACATTCACATTATTGTTACTCTGATGCTTGTATCAATCATATCAATAATGTAATACTATAAGAATAATAATAACATGTAGAATAATAATACTAGTGATAAGAAGAATAATCACAATACTAGTACTAACAAGAAGAAACCAATATTAATAAGAAGAGGAGGACGAGGAGGAGGAGGAAGAAGAGGAGGAGGAGGAAGAAGAGGAGGAGGAGGAGCAGGAGCATGAGCAGGAGGAGGAGGAGCAGGAGTAAGAGGAGGAGGGCTGCTGGGAGGGAGGGCTTCCAGCTCCCGGTCAGGCGCCCCGCCCTGGCGGCGCAGGCTGGCGCGCCCCGGCCACGCCTGGCTGGCAGCGCCCCCGCGGCCCGGCGGGATGGCGGTGAGGCGGAGGCGCCGCGGTGATCCTTCGCAAGAGCAGGGGGAATGGAGGGGATGGATGAGTGAGTAACGCGGGAGGAGGGATGCCGCGTCGTTCTTCGCAAGGGAGGAGGGGAATGAAAGAGGCGGGGGAGCAGGATGAGGAGGGCGAGGAGGAAAACGAGGAGGATGAGGAGGAGGATGAGGAGGCGGAGGAAGAGGGAGGAGGGAGAAGGAACCGTGGCGATCTTCGCGACTGAGGAAGGGGATGGAGGAGGAGAAGGAGGAGCAGGATGACAAGTGTAAGCCCAAGAGTCATCAACGATTTTGCAATTAACCATCCAAGCTCCCTATTCATGTGCTCCTACTACACACGGAGTCATGTTTCACGGAGGGAAGTGCCCTGTTGGAAGACAACCGTTTTAAAATCCGGAATCGTGCCAGAACGCCATCCCTGGGATTTCGACGCAGCGAATCATTGTTTTTGTTGTGTCTTGGCGATCTTGAGTCGTGGCAGAACACCATACCTTGGACTGCAACATTGCGAATCAACGTGACTGCTGCGCCCTGACATTCGGACATCGTGCCAAAGCGCCATTACATGGGACATTGACCATGAATGAGAACCCTTGAAACAGCTGCAGACCCTTACGACGACACGTGCGCGGCGCGGAAGCGAGAGCCGCTTCTCGAAGAGTGGCCGCTCTCCCTCCGTGAAGCTCCTCGGCAGATCTCTGAGACGAGTGTGCGCGGCGCTGCGGCGAGAGCCCCACCCCGAGCAGGAGCCGCCCCCCACCCGCGACGCTCCCGCACGCTCTCGTGACCGGCGCCTGCGCGATGCGGAGGCGGGGGCCGCGCGTGGGAAGATCGGGCTCGCCTTCCGCCCGCGCAGCTCCTGCAGCAGTTGGCAGACGGAGGAGGAGGAGGAGGAGGAGGAGGAGGAGGAGGAGGAGGAGGAGGAGGAGGAGGAGGAGGAGGAGGAGGAGGATGAGGAGGAGGAGGAGTGGCGCTCCGGTGATGTTTTTTCGGAACCTGGGCGAGGGCTGCTGAAGCCGTGGCTGCTAAAGCGGCCCTCCCGGAAGGAAAAAAGCAGCTTCCCGGAAGGAGGCGCGGCACGCGAAACAGTCAACGGGCTTCTTCCCGGAAGGACGAAGGCAACTTCCCGGAGGTCGATTTCAGCAGCCACGGATTTAGCAGCCCATGCCAGGCTTCCGAAAGTCGGGCGTGTCCCTCTGCGGGAGGAGTGTTCAGAAATAGTCAAAACGTGGCCCAGGGACTGCTTTTGAGTATGCTTGGCTATTTCTTACACTTCGCGCCCAAAATCCGCCTGTAGGGGAACATGCCCGACCTTAACGCTCTAGTGATAGCGGAGGTGGATAGACCTCCTACCCTGCCACGTCGATTCAGGAATTGGCCGTTTCCATTTCGCGAGAGGGCGTCGCGGCCGTCATTTTTGCGGGTCCAGGTCCGTCGGTTTCGATCCTAGGCCGTTTTCACTAAGGGGAGGTTTACTAAAGGGAGGCTTGTCCACCGCCGAAATAGTCAAAACTCGGAAGCCGGGCAAGGGCTGCTAAATCCGTGGCTGCTAAAATCGACCTCCGGGAAGTTGTCTTCGTCATTCTGGGAAGAAGCCCGTTGACTGTTTCGCGTGCCGCGCCTCATTCCGGGAAGTTGTTTTTTCCTTCCGGGAGGGCCGTTTTAGCAGACACGGTTTCAGCAGCCCTCGCCCAGGTTCCGAAAAAACATGGCCCAGGGACTGCTTTTGAGTAAGCTTGGCTATTTCTTACCCTTCGCCCAAATTCCGCCTGTAGGGGAGCATGTCCGACCTTAACGCTATGTCGAGAGCCATGTTCTGAAAGCGGGCCGCCCTCCATCCGTGAAGCTGTTGCAAATTTAAGGCTTCAGGGTCCTAAGTTGTGAGAAAGTCTCGGGCGAAACTCCGGGCCCGCCTCTTCGATCGGAATCGACCAGGCGACGCTGGCCCCCGTTGGCCCCTGTTGGCCCCCGTTGGCCCCCGTTGGCCCCTGTTGGCCCCCGTTGTCCCCCGATTGTCCCAGTTGGCCTCCGTTGGACCCCGTCCGATCCAGAATCGGACGGGCGACGTTGTCTACTGTTGTCTCCCATTGTTTGTCCCTATCCCAATCCTTGGCCGATTCCTATGCTAATCCGTGTTCGATATCCCCTTAGCATTCCCATCCCGATCCCTAGTATCTGTATTTCTATGTCAGTATCCCTTTATCCCCAGCTCTATAGCACTGTTCCCTACGAGTAGACACCATCTCCCCCACACGACTGGCAGCCAACCCGAACCTATGCCACCCCCTTCCATGATCCCTGTCACAAAAACCATGCAAAGTACTCTTGGCGTACCGACGCATTGCCACATGAGGCATGTTTTCTGCATGCCTCAAATTGTACTTGTCGTGTGCCAGTTGAGGCATGTCGTCTGTATGCTCGATGCATGTCGTCTGTATGCCTGAAGTAGCACCAGCCATGCACCATTTCAGGCATATCGTCTGCATGCTTGAATTGGTACCGGCCAAGTGCCGCTTGAGACATGCCGTCTGTATCCCTCACGTGGTACAGGACAAGTACCACTTGAATCATGTCGTCTGTATGCCTCAAGTGGTACAGGACAAGTCGTCTGTATCCCTCAAGTGGTACAGGACAAGTCGTCCATATCCCTCAGGTGGTACAGGACAAGTTCTGCTTGAAACATGTCGTCTATATGCCTCAAGTGGCACATAACAAGTCGTCTGTACGCCTGAAGTGGTACATGACAACTATTGCTTGAGGCATGCCGCCTGTATGCTTCAATTGGTACCAAACATGTGCCACTTGAAGCATGTCGTCTGTATGCCTCAAGTGGCATCGA